GGCATGGTACAGTAGTGGGATTGGCTCCCCTCAGGGGCTTCATTCAGTAGAGATACTACTCCAAGGAGGAGGGTGGGGATGCGGGCAGGGGGCTAGCGGTGGGGCATGGTACAGTAGTGGGATTGGCTCCCCTCGGGGGCTTCATTCAGTAGAGATACTACTCCAAGGAGGAGGGTGGGGATGCGGGCAGGGGGCTAGCGGTGGGGCATGGATGGGATAGGATGGCATTGAGAGTAAAGAAGCGTAGACCTAAAGCTGATCTTAGTTTTGAACACATTGATCACCAGGACACATTCTAAACCTGTCTGTATATGAATTTTGTTCCTACAGCAATCATTCCATTATTGCTACTTGGCATCATCATCAGTGATTTGTATATCAAACATGGAATATGTAATTCATCTCTCAAACTAAACTTATCCTGTCCATTTCCACTGAGCTTCTGTAAACAATGTTTATGAGAGTATGTAACCTATATAAAAACACAGTTCTTAGTTTCATGATTGTGGAAACATTAGTGAACTTTCCCATTTGTGTAAGAAAGATGATGCCTGGTGGATGATGCTCTGTGATGCCAAATGTTCGGTTTTCTGCCTGAACAAACTTGATACCAGAGACACAAATTCCAGCTTGCTGGACAGTCTGTGGTACTAATTTGTACTAATGAAATACTGTAATTGTTGTAAATTCAGTAGTCTAGGCTAAATGTTTGTGTTTCTCTCTAAATCCAACAGGTAAGACACTGGGAGAGACCATCTTGTTCTTTGGTTGCCGTCAGCGAGACCACGACTACATCTATGAAGAAGAACTAAAGGATTACCAGGAGAACGGAACACTCTCAGCAGTCTACGTGGCGTTCTCCAGGGAACAGGCAGAGAAGCAGTATGTCCAACACCTTATGGTGCATCAGAAAGAGAAGATCTGGCAACTTCTTGAACAGGGTGGACACATTTACGTCTGCGGGTAAGCTGATGGTTGCAATAAGAAATCTGATACTCCTAATCTTTGGTGTAGGTTTGGACAGTAATGTTTGCTGTTGTAGTCGGTCCCTATTTGTAGCCAGTTCCCTTGCATTGTTTTGTTAGGCACAATGGTTGTCCATTGCAATCTAAAACAGAAGTTTAGATACAGTTGCCAACTTCAAAACCTCTATCAAGGTAAGGATGAAGTTTGCCAGTTGCCGAAATTCCCTGATACCTCCACAGGCACCTGCTTTGTGCAAGTCCTGCGAGTTCTGGCTTTTAGCCATTACAAATGATGAAATTCATAATGAGGTCTGTGTGAGGCCAAGAGAGGGTGCAATTTTCCCAGCAACGGAGGCTCCTTTGGTGGGGACTGCACTTTGCTGGTCCATACACGATTCTGAAAGCACACGTCATCATAGCGTCCCAGTCAGCAAAATGAACTCGCCCACCAACATGACTCTTTTCAACCCACAAGGAGCTGCTTGTGCTCAAAGTGGATAAGCCCACGCACCCCCGCTCCCCCGATGCATATTTGTTATTCCTAACCAGCCCGTGAGGTTTTGTGGAGTTAACAGGACTTAGGAAGATAAAACTTAGTGGCTGGTGCATCACGTGGGACTTTATGCCCATTGAAAGTTTGTGAACAAAACATTCTATTGGATATCTATCTCCATGAAGGAGCAGTCAGAAGAAGTCAAGAAGGGTTGACAAAAATGGCTAAGGAGTTAGGGTTCAGTTGGTTAGATTGTGGAGTGAATTAACGTTCCCCTCTGTAGTATTTTGCACAAGTGAATGACAGGTGTGAAAAGATTTGATTGTAGAATTAGTTGGAGAATTTATTGCATGTAAGCAAAGACCATACATGCCAGAATAAATTAGTTACGCGTACTCGGCTTGTTCCGCGTCAAACGCGCATATACATTTGTGCCTCATGGTGCGCCTATGCGGCGAGTACCAAAAAACACGCCCTCGTTTATTCCGCTTGGAGTGGCTTGGAAAGGTGAATTTATTTTTGTTGATGGGGTATCCCTGTTCTTGATTTTGCCAGGGATGCCCGCAACATGGCGCCAGACGTTCAGAAAGTGATTAGAACCATCATTAGCGAGCATGGCGACAAGAGCCACCAGGAGGCAGAGGATTACATCAAGAGGTTACAGTCCAAAGGCCGCTATGCCTGCGACGTCTGGAGTTAATCCAATCAAGAGAACGACCCCCAAACAACACCAGACCCAGACAAGACAGCGACGATGTGCGGAAAAAACACACTACTCTTTGCCAAACTTATTTCCCTCAGAATTCTGAATTTCTGGTTTCCTGCCTTGAACACGTCGTATTACGCTAATTAGTAACGTGTATAAAAATACGAGTTTTTGTTAGTAACCACATAAGATTGCAGAGTGACCAGAAGTGCGCAATACATGTCGGTTTATATAATAATCGGCAACTTAAATCTTGAACTATTTTCACACAGGAATAAATTCTGTGGATTGGTCCAGCTGAAAGCTGGTAAATTTTGGGTCACTTTTCAAGTGTGCTTGTGCATGTGCACACTCACACATTCAGGCATTTGAAATCCATATGATCAGAATTTGAAGTCTGTAAAGCATATCACTGTGCTATCAATCACTCCCCTTTCACAGTAACCAGAGAGTCTTTGTCTATTTTTTACAGCTGTTTGCCTGTAATTCTCTGGATACCTCATAGCAACACACTCTACCTGCCCAGTCATACCGAGGCATAATCATTTTGTAGTTCAGAACCTAACTTTCACATTGTACCTCAAGATATAGTCAGATCATTGTGGTTTAGTGATTGCGTGTGTGGCACTTCAGGTGCTGGCTTGACCGAGACATGAGCTTGTGTCTTCAGACAGTCATTATTTCTGGCTTTGGCCATGTTCTACAGTGAGTCGGTAGCAAAACTTAATCCATAGCCATATAATAGGGGATTTGGATTGTGCTTGACTGAGCATTTCAACATGACTGTGTAGAAGGGATGTACATGTATACTGTGTTGTCACAGGGCAATCCCAAACCACTTTGTGGGTGTACTGATAAAGGGACAACAGACCGGCCTCACATTAGGATTCATTTGAGAAATAGGAGTATGTGTAATTGGTTTCATTGAGTAAGGTGTGGTCTCATTCAGGAAGTCTAGAGGAATCTGATTGGAGATTTGCTGGTGATTTAATAACAAATTTCAAAAAGTATCGGGGAAAACAAAACAACAAAAAAAAAGAAACGGGGTTTTCTTGATGAAGGTGAACTCTTGAGTTTTAAAGCCAAGCAACGTGGAATTCCAGCTTACTGTGTTTCTTAACTTCTCAGATCTAACACACCCAAATTAAGGATTATATCGGCATCGGTCTGTCGCCAACAATCTGGTGAACCAAAGTTCAAAGAATTCCTGAACCGATGTAAGGTAAACGTTTTGGGGCGGTCTCCACCTTGTAAATGTCTGCATTGTGTAATTTTTAAAAGTGTAATGATGTATTGAACAAAATTGAAGGCAACATAAAATCTTGGCTTGAAGCTTTTGTGTACATTTTTGGCTTAAACACATAAACAGCATAGTTATACAAATTTTATCCAGTTTATCATTAAATCAGGTTTAATCAATCAGTGTGATAGTTACGTAATGTTTAACCCGTTCAGCATAATTTAACAAGTAGACAGCATAGAATGTTTTTTTCTGTCTCATTAGATGTAGTTTTTAAATTAAATAGTAATCGCAGGTGTTTTATTTGTATTTCCCAAGTAAATGTACTGTTTGTTAAAAAATAAAAAAGGGAGATAGGTTGAGAACAAGTTTTGTAAGATTAGACTGAGTAAAGACTATGAGAAGGGATGGAAATCATACTTAAATTGAGAAAAACCTGGAGGTGCACTTGTGCGTGAGATCATGGGGAAATAACTGGGAAGATGGAACACTTTTACGATGTTCTTGAAGTCTGAGGTTCAGATCCCTGTAGGGCTGGGTAACTCTTTAGAACACTGTTCTGGAATTCTGAAACTCCAAGGTTCAAAAGCTGCTTCTGTCAAGTTATTTTTGCTTGGTCTGATATAAATGTTTCCTGCAATGAACTTTGTTGCCCATTATGTGGAGTTAATTCCAAAATTAGGGGTTAAATTGAAATGATTTATGTTTTTTGTAGAATTTGAAGTGAGTTTTCTGAGTTCTGTCAACGGTTAGCCAACAGAAATCATTGATGTAAGGAAAGTGAGACTTGTTATAAAGGGACTTGTAGTTAAGATATTTTGTTAATAACTGTGATCATGTTTAATGTCATTGTATACTGTTGTAATGTCGCATGGTTAGTATTACCTCAGTCATGTCCGTTTTGAACTCGGCAGACGTATTAGAATTTGACGTTTTTGAATTGTAATAACCGGTACTCACGGGAAATGAAGCTGCATCATTGATGTCATACCCTTCCCGGGAAAAAAAAAGAAATCTGTTCAATATTAGTCTTGACCATTTTCATGGATGTATCTTAGACCAAGCTGCAATTTTTTTCGCCAAACGGTTGCGGTTTTCCGTCTTGTGACTGGTCTATTCTACACATATCTAATGCACAGTTCTTGACCACACAAACCAAACTCAGGCTTTCAATGGCATGAGAATGTTCCTTCCTCACTTGTTATTTACAAGTTTCAAAATAGAAATAAAATTGAGTGGATTCAAACCTTGGACTGGGGGTTTCAAGTCAGGACTACTTCTGACCAGTCCATGCCCCTGCAGCCAAGCATCGGTGGTTTTAACACCATTATTTCTAATTATACAACTTCTCTTTAACGTTAACACTCCTCAGTCCTCCAACAGGTGAAGGATTGAGGAGGGTTAGGGTTAAAGCCTTGGACAAGATTATGTAAGCACAGAGGGCACCCTCTTTCGAAACCGTCAGATCCCTGTTTGGGGGGAAAAAAATCAGTGACCAGGCCAGCTGCATTGGTAGAAGTTAGTCTTAATTTACAGGGATGCGTTCATCAGTTGTGGACGTAATACGTGGAACTTTTTAAAGAATTGTATTTAAAATATGGCTGATTTTTAATTAGAAAGTAATTTAATATCGGGACCATTTTTGCATATAGGATTTAGTAAACTACTACCACTGAGAAAAAGAACGCTTTTTATTGGGAAGGGGAACCGATTCATAGCGTCTCTTTACTCCCTCTAACATTGAAATGGAATTGCTCGGAGAAAAAAGTTTCCCGGTGTTGTATATTTCAATCAGTTGAAAAGGCTTTATGATTCTACTGAGTCAGTTCAAGCGGTGCCTTGTAAACTTGTAGAAAAAGTCGAAAATGTGGATGCCTCAAATTTTTGTCTGGGCCTGCCCATGCTGAATATTGGGTAAAAGATATGCATCATTACAAGATGTATAGTAAGTCCCAATGTCACTACGCATGGTCAGTTTGTAGAAATGGCTCAGATTTCAGTGGGGTCAGAATTTCATGCAACACCATCTCACAGGATCTGGGGGGGTCTGCCAAGGCCTACCGAATTGAAGTGTTTCAGAGTCACTAATTAGTAAAATGGGAATAAGTATACTTGTACATATCCACAAAGTAGAGGCAATGCAGATGTGTCAACAGTAATAAGAACTGATGTAAATTAACGAGTTTTTAAGTAATTTTTTCTACACAAAGTCATATTATGTCAGTATGCTGTGTGTTGTTGCATGTATAATTGCTTTTTTACTCACCAAAGAATATTGATGTGTAATCAGAGGAATTTTGTGGAATGGATATGAATATCTGGTAGATTTTGTTGTGGGGGGAGGGTAGAATAATATATTGTTGATAAATGCATATTTCAATACTTCCCTGCATCCAAGACAGTTTTCACAAGTTGTCTGTGCACTTCATTTTCATAATTCTGATGTCTGCTTGAAGATATTCCTGGCTTTTAGTGTTCAAATTTCTTTTCAGCTCAGAAAGAATGCAAAGTGTATCGTTACAGCTTCAATTATTGGTTTTAATCTGTAGGATAAACATTTCGGTGGAGTTCATTTCTTTGCTTCAAGGAATGAGCATTTTGATTCAGTATTTAGCTGGTTGTGTTTATAACTGCGCTTTGCCAGAACTTGAGGACACAGAAGAACCTCGCACGTGGAATTCGTCGAGGTCAACTAGGCTGTAAATATTGCTTTGAAAATGAACTTGAGCAAAACTTACTGAACATGAGCAAGTAGCAGTATGTATTACTTTGTAAGCTGTGTGCTTCGCAGTCTTGTGATGTTGAGATTATTACTTAAAACGTGACAAAATGCTGTATATTTTGTTATGAACTGACAATTACACGGAAGTCTGACACATCATGCTTCAAAATAATTTGTGCATCACTGTCATTTATGGCTAACTGTTGCAAGTTTTTATAGCTTTTTTCCTCAAAGTCAAAATGAATTTGATGTTTTGCATTTCCACTAAGTTGCAGATGAATGGTTGTTATAGTTTTTCTTTGCTCTCCAAATAATTGGTGTCAGAATCCATTTAAAATTTGTAGAACTCATTCTGAATATGTCCGTTTGAAGTTTGGGTTCTAATTTCTTTTTCATCTTGTAAGGTTTGAAATTAGGTTAGCAGATTCAAGCATATGTCATTCCTATCTTTTGTCTTCTACTAAATATTAATGTTAATTATTAGAAATGAACACTTGTACATATAAGTTTGAATTCATTTTACACAAAAGACTAATAAATATTGGAATTTTTTGCACAAGATCGAGTCTGTTACATATGACCTTCATGACAAGCACGTTCAAGTCTTTCAAAAGATGCTGAAGTTCACTCAAACACCAGGACTGTCTTTGTATTAAATTATCATAATGTGGGAAGTGTAAGGCCCCACCCCTAAGAATGCATGTGTTTCTTTCTGTTCAAATCCATTAAAATGAAAATTCACCTTATAAAGGTGTTGACCCACTCAGAAATGGAATGACACTTGGTATGTTCATTTCAATTGTACTTTTAAGGCAGTCACTATTGTGCAGCTTTCAAAAACAAAACAAAGTTATAAGATTGAAAACAAATATTACTGGAAATCCACTGTTTAAATCAATAAATGATCACACATACAACTTTTTTGGTAAAAAGTGTCTTATTTGCTCAAGCTGTGACCAAAGATGCAGTTATTACATAACACTACACCAAAATCTTGTTTTAAGGATGAAGTTATTCGGGGATAAACTGTGGAATTAAAAATGGTCAACAAATGCTCTACATGGCACCCTGCTGTAAGTGCTGTAAGTGTGGAACAATGCACACTTCCATCCTCCAAAAGAATATCCCAAACTGTGAATTTAAAACAAGATCAGAAAAGGGTGCCCATACTTGGAATAGTTTTGAGAAGATTGAAACATTTTAGGGAAACTGTTGGGCAACAACAGGAAGTTTCTCTGAACAGTGGAAAACACTGAGCATGCCGAAGAGTCATGAAGAAACCAAACTCGGTCATGCTCATAGGGAGTCTTTTGGAATCCTCCAACATCATCATCCACTTTGCTATGAACTCGTGGCACATTCTTTGCCCTTCAAACTTTCTGGGACATCAATGAATCCATGTCAAGAAACAGAAACTAGGCCATGCTTGCATCAGTTGATAAAGATCCTACAAAACTTGAAAGGGGATTTCGAATGATCTGGGAAGGGAAAGGTTATTATTGAAATTTTTTAAATTACTTAAAAAAACAAAATTTACAAAGCAATTTAGTTGCATTTGAGTCAAAGTTTTAACAGCTCCATGTTGGCAAGCAGCACAGAAGAAAACACCAAAGATTATCATGATTATGTCTGAAATCACACATATTATGATTACAAGCATGACTTACCAATTTACGCCAAAATAAATGACTACTTTCATCCATTTCCAAAAAATAGCTCATGAATCACATCAACATTTTCCTTTGATTTAATCTTATCGGATGATCTTTGTTACAGTATGTTTTGTTTTAACCATATGCTGCCGGGTTTAATTTGAAGTTGCATGACATATTCCCAGGGGATTTTCAAGATTTTCCGTCATCAAATTCTTCAAAAATTCATTACTTTATTTACTGGACGTTCACACCCACACGAATGATTGTCTGGCTGCTACTCTAATCTGACAGACAACATCTATTGACGCCCGAGCATTTCAGCCTGGCCTGCCGGCTTGTAAAGAGAGCCCAGATAGTGTGGTGTTACATAATTTTCTTTTGTTCCCGAAACTGGCCAAGTGCCCTGCTGGCATCTTTTCAAATGCGGACCAGATTAGCGTGCATCAGTATTGTATCGCTCATCCTTGGAGTGTTAGAGCGCTTTTGTCCCCGGTGGTAATCCGCTTGCGCTGAATGCCACAAACAGTGGTATAACCATTCAAAACAAAGATAGATTTCCTCCGCTATTGACAACTGAAAAATGTAGGCAATTTCCAGCAGCCTGGTCTTTTGTTCCGAGTATGGTCTTTTGTTACAAGGCCCAGTTCCCTCTGTCCAATTTTGGGAACCCCGTCTGTGCATATAACGCCACGTCTCCAAAACCAGGCTCCCCGGCAACAAGTGGTTAAACTGATTGTCAGAGCTTTCAATCCAACATGAATACAGTATTTGTAACTTTACAACACAAGTTAAAACAGGGAAACCTTTAGCCTTGAAATGTGGAATCAGTAAGACACTAACTCTTACATGCCAAAGAAATGTGAAGTGCAAACACTTTTTGAACATGTGCTAAAAACGTAACACTGCAGTGCAGTGATATGGAGAATAAAGTTTGCTGGTTCACGTTGCGGTACCAGTTGACTTCCTTTTAACGTTACTTTCTGGAGAAGGAAAAAAAAAATTGTTGCCAACTTCTGTTGCCCTCTACGGTATTGCAATGAGCTAAGATCCTATTGGCTGTATGCAGGGCTTTCAGAGGGTGCTATTCCAGCCAACACTATCAAGCCACGTGAGGGCAAACTTGGAAGGTTATGTGTCATTTATAAGTTCTAAAAAGGTGGAAATTAAAAACCTGTATTTGCTTGAAAAAAATGTAGCTGACATGCCTAGCACTCAAAATTCTTCATCTACCATATCAACATTTTTAAAACTACTTAAGGGTCTGTTGATCGAGCCAACATGACTGAGTGTTTTGACTCACCTGCTTTGGTGGTGGTTTGGGAAACAAACAAGGAAGCTCTTCGCTTGACTGCTGTCTTTGGAGAGTCTGCGTCATCAAACCTGGATGACACACAGGGGTAAAAATGAAGATGTAAACAGTGAAGGTGTGACAAAACCTATACATCCTGGATGTTTGGATAGAATGATTGCCGACCCAAGATTTTGGCCCTGGTACAAGGACGAAACATTTGTCATCTGGCTGCATGGACTGGACAGCTTTTATCTCTTCCTGTGACACCACAATGGGCTTCACAGCAGCATCCAATTTACCATGGAACAAAAAAAAAGACAGCAAGAAGGATGGCAGTCTTACCCACCATGCCCACAGCAGCCCACCCTCCACAGCGCTTCCTTCCATCTCCCCAAGATCAAGTCTCTGTCAACTGGGCCTTGTTCATAGGGTATACAACATCTGCGACAAGGAGCATCTCACCCGAGAACTCCATCACATCATCTCAACACTGCACCAGAATGGATACAAGTCCAGCCATATCAAAACTCAAGACCCAAGATCCAGCCCCAGCCAAAAGGTCTCCTATACCCAAAGCCAACTAGTTAGACCCCTTGATCTATCACCCTTCCCTACTTAGGCATCCTCCACAAGCATGGTATTCGAGTATACCATACAGCACCCATGAAGATACCTCGGTACAGAACCTGCTGACTTCCCACAAGGACTGACCCAATCCACAGCACAAGCTAGGAGTGTACAAGATCCTCTGCCAATGCAGCAAAGTGTACATTGGTGAGACAGCCAGGGAACCTCCCTACCAGACTCAATGAACACTGAGCCCATGGCAAGAAAGGAGAAGTTGACATGTCAGCCATCATCAAGCACTCCCATACCGAAGACCACTAGATCACCTGCAGCCAAGCCGAACTCATCCCCAGCATTGAACACTGGTACCCTCGCCACATCAGGGAGGCCATCAAAATCATTAAGCAAAACAAAGTCCCACAAGGCATCAGTTTCAACATCAGCAAGATCTGGCAACCCATCCTTACATCTCAGCCCATGAGTCTCCTATACCCTTTGCAACCATCGCCCACGGTTCCCTCCATCAGACTGACACACCTCACTGATCATCTAGCATCCCATG